GTTAGCCCACAGTAAATGAAGATAAAACGTCAGAACTTCCTTGGTATGCTGAGAGGAAGGTATGCCAACGCCTGGGGAGACTGGAATGTTAGAGTACATTTGTCACGAGAGTCCGACTCACCAACGTCAGAGATCAGACCTTCCACCACAGCTGTGAGACATAAGCTTGCGAGGAGAGTCCAGCGTCCTTGAAGAGCTCTCTGGTTGCTCTTCTCTATAGGTCAGAAATTACAGCGGCAACTGCTACCATCAAACTGAGACCCTCAAAGGCAATGGGAATGATATCAAACTGGGATGCTGGGGTGGCAGGGCTCAAATTGCAACACCTAATCACCAAAGATTAGGTGGGCATGGTTACTGTAAAGGACATGGGAGCCAAAGCAGTATTCAGAATAGCCTGACTCACAAAGACCTACGGGGTTGACCAGTTGGTCGTGGAGTCTCGAGAAAGGAAATGGACGGGAAGCATATTAAATTCTTACTTGATCTGTTTAAGCTGAAAAGTTATAGGTCTAGTGAACAGAAGTCTGCTTGAATCACCAAAACAGAGAGTCAAGGTCCCTCAATCGACTCCCAGACTTAAGCCAGTTTACAGGCCCAGAAGCCCTCGAATGAAGGAAAGGCCATGTCCCAGGAGGAAAAATTATGTTATGGAGCCAAATATATATACTGTTAATCTTTCTCGCAGTCTTCTCCAAGAGGACCTCAACCATTCACCAGTGTGACTGCATTGGAGAAAGGAAACCAAACAGGTTTCTGAAGATTATTGGACACTGGCTCTGAGCCGATACTAATTCCGGGAGACCCATTAGTCCAGGAGACCCACCGCCCCATTCAAGCGGCCCGTTGGCCTGCGCAGGAGACAAAGGCAGATCTTGGAGAATGGCTGTGGATTATCATAAACATAATCAGGTAGTGATTCCAACCGCAGTGGCTATTTCAGATGTGGTTTCATTGCTTGAACAAATCAACACCGAGGGTTGCTGTTTTGTATCAGTTTTAGAAATTTATCCACCTAGATTTCTTCAAGTCACGGCTCCAATGCTCTTGAGCTCTCTGAGCCAGCACATCATTCAGCTTGCTGTGTCGTCTCCATTTCCCCATCTGGAAAATGGGGTGATAACAGCCCCTACTTCATAGGGGTGCTGTGATGATTCGATAAACACTGTGTTACGGAAGGGTTAGCTCTGGCTCTGTGACAACTAGGACCCGTTTCATCCATGCGAGGAAGTCCCTGAGGGTGAGCAGGGAACAAAGGCCAAGTGACGACCCGAGCTTCGGGGATCTCTCAGTCGCAGCCATATGCACCCCGGGGCCTCTGCAGGTCCTGCTGCTGCCGAAGGGAGCTTCCCCAGTGGTCTCCACCGAATCCATTGCCCTTGTCACTCCTTTGGCCCCTTCGTCCCTTCCCTGAGGCTCCAGACCACAGGAGTTAGGTCCGAAGGTACAAGTTCCGGGGGAAGAGAGGTTGCGACTGCCCCCGCTTGGCCTGCCAAAAGAAAAGGCTCTCTCCCCTCCTCCCCCCCGGCTTTGATCCTCCCTGGGAGAGAAGAGCCCAAAGAAGTCTCCAGACACTTCAGACTAGAGCACACCACTCTTCGTTGAAAACAATCCTAGACCCCAGCTGCGGATGCCTTCACCCCCAGCCTCCCTGCCTTTTAAACACATGACAGCACATTAACGAATTGCTGGGAAACGAGGCCTTGAAGAATCTATTTCAAAAGAACCTGCGGCAAGATTGTCAAAAGAAGAGAGCTGGCCAGGAGTGGGATTGGCGCCCAGGCCTCGGGGTCTGGGAACACAGCCCCACTGGCAGGCATTCTTCTGGCGGCTGAGGCCCCAAACCTGGGGCCAACTGTCAAAGACGCTGAGAACTCAGAGCTGGGACCTGGGAGGTTGTGGAGCTGGTTCCCTCGCCCCTGAGCGGAGGCCTCCGCAAGCACACATCTGTCACTTCTGCTCCTGTTCAAGATCCCATTCTTCTCAGAGGCCCTGGGACAGAATACCATAGTCCTCCTCTCCGCAGCCCCCGCCCTCCGGAGGCTGAGGACAGTCATCTCTGGGTTGGCCCACGGGATGGAAGTAGCAAAGTATCCAGAATCACCTCCTCCAGTCCCCTCACCCAAACTTGGCACTTCTTGTTTCTATTTCCAGGCTGCTCACACCCCATCCATCCCGTGCCGTGTTTCCTGAGCACTTGCTGATTACTATTAATCAGCACGCTGGCGGGACTGCTGCCTGCCCGTGTGAGCATCTTGTTAGCGATGGGAGAAGACTGCCAAATGGCCAGCTCGGCTCCGGATGGTGAGACATGGGTCTTGTCCAGACCGAGGAGCAAAGGCATCGGCGCGAGCCGTCTGGCACGGAATGGAGATCCCTGGGGCTTGATAACCAGAACTGCAGGCCCTCTCTCTGCAAAGAACAATGTTAAGAGTCCGTCCACGTGCCCCCTACCTTCTTTCAGACCAGATGATCTTAGAGACCGAACAGGATGGAGGGAAAGCTCAGGGGTGAAGGAAGGCCAGCTAGCCGCCCCTACGTTAAAGACCTATGCAGTTCCCAGGAGGCCAGGATCTGGGGTGGCCTGCAGCAGCAGCAGGAGGGAATTAAGCTAGGTGATCAGAAGTACTTCCTGATGCAAAGGGTTGCCACAACTATCCTAGGACAGGTTACTAGGGAAAGAACGTTAGATCTGACCTGCAGATCCTCTCCGCCAAGTTTATTAGCTCAGTCTGCACTATGTTTATATATGCGCATGGACAAGTTTGGTTTTTCTATCAATACGTGAACCTGAGGGACCTGGTCTAGGATTTATTTGGTGGCCCTTGGTGTCTTCTCCCGGAGCAGATCATACCCTCTGGCTGCCCGGCTGTGGTGCTGATCAGGCGTCACCTGAGTGATGAGATTAGTGGCCGTGTCAACAGACCTTTGCAAATCAGACAAGGTATCTGGGTTAGAGACTGAGGAACGTCGTGAAGGAAATATAGAGATTAATAATAGCACAGGAGAGCACATCCTAGGGGCCACAGGTGTGGCCCAGCCAGAACCTAGCAAGTCAGAGGGAGGGGTTTGAGAGGTCAGTTGGAGGAGACTCCGTGGAGCAGAAGGGTAGGCATAAGGGGTGCATCAGGATCGGTTGGTTCCTAACAGGGAGATTTCATGCAGGCCCAAGGGCAGGCACTTTGGGAACTGCTCTCTCCCTGGGAATCTGCCCTACAACAGCTGCCCAGAGCCACAGGCCTGTTAGAATCTGTCACAGGGAGATGTCCTTTAATTGGAGGCAGGCTCTTGAGGAGGAGGAGCTCTTGGAGGAGTCCTTTCTGCCTCCCAGAGCCTCTCCCAGGCGTGGGACAGGGCTCCAAGCATCATCCCCACCCCTATCCCCATGGGAGCAGGATCAAGAAAGATGCAACAGCTCACCCATCTGCCCCAGGGTGGCACTGGAGCCACCAAGAGTGGCAGGATCACCTGCCCAGGCCCTCCCGGACCAGGCCCCCCAACATGGAGCCCAGGGTCACTCCCCCTGCCCTGCAGGTCCCAGGCCTATCGCATTTCTGTGGCGAGCAGCTCTCGGGGGGCAAACCTCGAGTCCCACTGGGGCATGTGGGCCAGGCCCCTGAGTCTAGATGTAACTGGGGGACCCTGCTCCACTCTCTGTCTCCACATGGAACTGCACAGGAACCAGCAGGAACAAAGTCAAAGTTTCCAGAAAGAAAGAAAGAAAGTCCGTTTTAAAGGCTGCATGGCATGGTGGTTAGGAATGACACTCCCGGGCCCAAAATGTGAAGGTAATTTCTAGCTCCTGCAATTGTCAGCTTGTGACCTTGCGCACAAAAGAACCAGTAAGGATGAATGAAGGTTGGCCTATTCTTAAGGTCTAACATCCTCATCTGTAAAACGGGGCAAATAATAATACCAACCTCATCAGGTTGAGCTGAGGAATAACTGAGCGGCAATATAAAATGCTTGGAACATCACGCAGCATGTTGTAAGCACTCGAACAAACAGAAAAGCTCTGGCTCTCGTTATTAAACACCCTTCTGGCCGGCAGTGTCACCACTTCCACACAGGGAGGGTTTACAGAGCGTCTAATTGGAAGGGGAGCTTTGAGACTCATTTCTGAAATGCATCGGCATAGCAAGCAGGCCTTTGTTCCTTTCTCAATATTTCTTCATACCGTAAGGGGATAAGAGAAATATTTTCTTCCCCGGCTTCTTAGCAGGATTAAGTGAAACGATGCACGTACGTGCTTAGCCCAGTGCCCAGCTCTGAGAGAGCACTGCCTTGGAATTAGTTTTCTGTCTGGAGTGGCTTGAGAGGACGCTGGAGGCGACAAGGGTGGGGGAGGGAAAAGGGTCCCCACGACAGGCAGGAAGCCTCTTATTGGGAAGCTCTGCTCTGTTCTGCAGCGGACACGGATCTTCCCTGCTCTGTCGTGAGACAAGCATTTAGACATAAGAATTTCCTGAGAGTCAGTCAGGGTGTCAGACCTGGGCCAGGTTTCCCGGGAAGCTGGCTGCACTTGCCCCCCGGAGGTGCTCATTGGTCCGGGATGAACCCAAGGGTTCATGGTCACGCCTGCCTGAGGACCCAATACCATGACCTTTGGAAGGCCCTTTCAGTCTCAGGACTCTAGCTGCAAGGCATCTGAGCTCCGAGAGCAAGGACCGAGGCCATCCGGCCCACCTGGACCACTTGGGCTTAGGGTCAGGAAGGGACACAGATGCTGGACCATAAAACAGAGAAACCCCGAGCACCCCTTGCTCTCTGGCTGAGAATCACACAGACACACACTTTCGCCTCCTTACCTGCTCTAGGCTTGGCCCTGACCCCCTCCCAGTAGGGCCCATGGGATGGAGAAAGGGTCTGGGGCCTACAGCCACTGGGAGAGCTCACTTTATGACAGTAGAGAGTCGACCCCATTGTGCTGCCTCAGCAAACAGTGACGACACAGCAGGGCCAAGCTCATCCCGTTCAGCCACCAGCTCGGGAGGGTTTACCTCGTGGATCCCAAAGTGGGCGTAGGAGTCGAAGTAATAATCTCTCGAGGTCATCTCCTCCGGGTTCAGCAGCTTGGACATCTTGCCCCGTCCTGGGCAGCTGGGTTGAGTGGACACGTGATGGACACATTGCACAGGCTTGGGTGGGACAACGGGCTGCGGGGGCTGCGAGGGGAGACTGCTCACCTGAGGGGAAGAGAAGGGCGTAGTGTTAACAGCGGCAGCAGGTCCTGCCCTGACAGTCGCACCTCCCTCCCTCCCCTCCCTGAGCCCCACTCCCATCAGCCACAGCAGCCACACCGAAGGGGTGGATGGCCCCTTCAGGCTTCAGCTTGGCAGTCAGCTTGATCGCTGTGACTTGTGGGGCGGTGGCATGCTACTGAGGAGCCAAACAGACCTGATGTAATCCAGTTCCATCTCTTACTAGCTGGGTGACCTGAGCTGATCTAGGCCTCACTTTCCATATTCGTTAAATAGGGACAATAATACCTTCCTTTAGAGGTAAAGGGAAAGATGTATAGAAGAGCATTGCATCACAGAGCACCGCAGAGCATGGTGGCTGGAGTGCAGATTTCAGAGCCATTCTGCCAAGACTTGAATCCCAGCTCTGCCACTTACTAGCTATACGACTTTGGGCAAAGTTACTAGCCCCTCGGTACTTCAGTTCCCCCATCTCTAAAGTGGGAATAAAATGGTCCCATCCCCTAGAGTTGTCCTGAGGATTACACAAGTTAGGATTTGTAAAGTGCTTCGAGAAGGGCCTGGCACATAGTAAGTGTTTGTTAACTGCAATGAGTCCCACCTGCACCCTCCGGAAGATCAGGCCCGCGCCTGCCCTCCCGCCAGCAGGCAGCACTCGCCCCAGCGCAGGGCGCTTAGGTTCTGCTGTCTCCCACCTGCTGTCTGGCCCCCTGGTTTCTCATTCACAGTTTCACTCTGAAATTCAGCAGAAGTTCACGCTGCACTGTGCACACCCACCCTGATGGCTGACCTCCTGCCTGCTCCACCAGTGACTGCTCTTTCTGTGTCCCCCAACCCCACAGCCAGGCCACCTCTGCACCCCACTGCTGCTGCCCACCGCTGACTGGCTCCTCCTCACAGACTAAGAGGAGGGAGAAGGATGAAAACTCAGGGAGCTGCTGGGGCCCAGAAGTTCAGACCTCACTGCAGAAGCACAGTTATACCAGGAGAGGACCCCTCTGCCTGGAGCGGAGGCCACCTGGATGCACACAGCACAGCCAAGTCCTCAGAGTGGAGCAGAATTTAAAACACAGAGAGGCAGTAGTAGCCAGCCATTGGTCCTCTGGGCTTGAGAATCAGGGTTCCTGGATCCTTTCCTGGCTCTAGTAAAATTAAAAATAGATATCGAGAAGCAGAAGGCACGGTGCAAGAGTTCAAACCCCAGTCACGCTGCCTGGCTTTGAAACGCAGCCCTGCTCCTTGTTGGCTGGCAAATCACTGTGCCTCAGTTTCCTCCTCTATAATCAAGGATCGTAATAAAATCTTCCTGAGGGAGTTGTCAAAAAGTTTGGATGAGTTAATATACACAAAGAGTTTAGAACCCTGCCCGGCATATAGTAAGCGCTTTATTATTATTCAGATCCCATAAACATGTCCCTGCTCTGTGTTTTCTCATCTGCGAGTTAGGTCAGCTCAGACTTACTACTTCTTTTCCAGCAAAGAAAACAGGGAGGTCGTAGGACAGAGCAAGATCAAGAAATCCGAGTGATTCTGTCCTTCCATCACGCTGTGGGCACAGCCTGCCCTGTGTCCGGGCTGGGGGGAGAGTGAGCTGGGGAGAGTGTGATGGTCCCATCTTCCCGGTGTATCTAGGCTACAGCCTCTGGGAAATAAGCAGACTTCCCAGTTTAGCAACATCAGATTTCAGGTCGACGAGATCCCGGCTGGCTGGCAGAGACAATCGGGGCTGCCTCATTAGAATGCAGCAGGTGTGCCCACCCTCGGCTTGGGATGTTGGTCACGGTCTCCCAGAAGCTAAAAATAGACTGTGTCAATTGCACACTCCCATGCTGGCTGCAGAGTCACCTCTAAAGCTGAAGAAGTCTCTGTGCATGAAGCTGACCCCAATCTTGACTCTATTTAAATATATTAAGGAGAGGAAAAAGTCCTAGCTGGTCCAGGCAGCATGTGTGGCCAAGGTCACAGGGGCCTCTGCACCCTTTAGCTGCCATTCAACTCTGATTCCAAGGTCCCTTTTCCATCAGGCTCCCTGAGACTCCTGCCCCAAGCAGCCCACTTACAAAGTGTCTACCGTGCACCACACATTGCATTCATGAGGCAGAGGGATGAATGGACTGGGAGCCATTCACCTCAATAACCACAGGTCATGGGGACGAAGGGGTGACTGTGGCCCAGTCCTTGGTCCTGAAGGCTGTCAGCCCAGCTCAGCGTCCTGCAGGGGGGCTTGCACGCTGCCCGTCTGTTGACAGGTGTGCTGGGAGTCTGTCTCCTGGGATAGGCTGGGAGAGGGCTGGGAAAGAGCAGTGGCCCATGGTCCCGGGGCATTCAGCTCCTGGGGTGCTGTTTTTCACCCCACAAATGCCTACTGACCATCTGTGGCAGCGGGCACTGTGCAGTCCCGTGCAAGAAACAGGGACGTTTAGGAGCAGTGCCTTCCAGGGCCTCTGCTTTCTAGTAGGAGGATAAGGCCTTTGGGGGCTCCAAGAGATGATGGAATAAGGTTTGCTTTACAAGAGAAGCTCAAGCAAATTGTCCCTGGTTCAAAGGAGAGAGAATTCACTTCAATTTAAAGAATCAGAAAACACTGGGCTAGCTGGCAGTGGGGTAGGTGGGGAGCTTTAGGAATGGATTTGGACAATTGGAGACGATAGGAGGGAATTCTAGGAGGAGAGGATGGCCTGAGCAAAAAGGTAAAGGGGAGCAGTGAGCCGTTTGGGGAGCCACTCGGCTGAGATGGTGGGAGATTCAGTTGAAGGGAATCATGGCCAGGCTAAGAGGTTGGAGTTAAATACAAGACAACAGGGAGCTGTTGGCGGTTTGTAATTAGGGAGTTGTGTGTGTGAGCTCTGCCTTAGGAAGATTTATGTGGTGGCAGTGTGTGTACGGGAGAGGACAAGGAGGAAAAACGAAGAGAGGGGGGACTGCGAGTGGGGAGGCAAAGTGTGAAGTTAGGAGGCTATTTTCAAAGTCTGGTCAAGAAATAACGAGACCCTGAACTACTGTTGTGTTAGAGGGGCTGCCTGCCAGAAAAACTGCAGAAATAGAATCCACAGGAGTTGGCAACTGATGGCATGTAGGGAAAAAAAGAGGAGTTGGAATCAAAGATGACTCCAACATTTCAAGCCTGGATGACTAGGAAAATTGTGGTGACATTAACAGAAATCAGCAAGTCAGCAGGGGGAGCAGGTTGGGGTGGGGGAAAGTAATGAATTTCAATTGGGATATGTGAGGTTTGAAATGTCATTGAGTCATATAAGAAAAGACGTCTAACAAGCAGACAGTAATGCAGTCCCAGTCAACAAATATCATAAACAAAATGGAAAGGCGAATGATGTGCTGAGGAGTACGCTTCTACATGTATGGCAGACAGAGCTGAATATTCGTAATATGGAGAGAGCTCTTAAAAGCCTAGAAGAAAAGATGAACATCCCAAATTTAACACTGGACAAAGGGTCTTAGAGTCAGTGCATGTGAGAATAAACACAAATGGCAAATCAACACGCAGCAAAAATATTTAACCTCTCTAGAAATTGGGTAACTTCAAATTAAAACTAAAAAAGTTATAATTTTTAAATACCAAATAAGCTTGACTCCCCCCAAAACTACAAAAACTCTGCATTGTAGTTTCTCTGGTTGCAGAAAAACAGGTACTTTTGTACATTTCTGGGGAGGCTTTTTTGGAATGTAGTGTGATGAAATGCACTAAAAGTCTTAAAAGCACAAATCCTTTAACCCAGTAATTCCATTTTTTGGAATGTATCCTAAGGAAAGAGTCATGGATAGTCATTAACATGTAGTTATAAGAATTTTATGACAGCACTCTTCATAATGGCAAAATATAGGAGTCAGTCTAGAAGTTCCAGCAAACAAGATTGAGTACATAAACCATGGTACCTCCACACGACAGAATGCTACGCAGCCAAGTAGAATGTTGTGGAAGAGTGTTTAATAAAACAGAAATACGATCACGATAAACCGCGGGTTGAGGAGAACAAGTGGGGGAAGAATAGAGTGTGGTCCCATTTTCAGAATTAAACCTATTCGTGGCTGTGTGTGAAGAGCGGAGATGCTGGGAAGGCATCAAAATCGGCGGCGAGTGTCACAGGGTGTTGGACTGTGAACATGTAATTCTTTCCTTTCTTGTGCTTGTTCATATTCTCTAAGATTTACGCCATTAACACATACTACTTTTGTAAATAGCAAAAAAGTAATAATAGTGGGAAAGAAGAGGAACTGTGATCCCAGAGCTCTGGAGAGAAGCTGCGGCTTGCACTCTGCATTTGGAAACCATCTGCACATCAGGAGGCTGTGGGGTTCTCTTGGGAGAGACCGCTGGGAAGGAGGTGGAGGGCGTGAGGGAGAGAAGCCAGAAGCATCCTCCTCTGAGGACCTCGAAGCCACCAGGGACCCAGGGAGAGAAGCTTGGGAAGGACGAGTCCTCATCCCTCCAGTTCCATGACGGCCCCTCCTCTGAGATGTGCGACCCAAGCATTGCACGCCAGAGACCAGGCAAGGGCACCGAAACAGAGACAACCTCCGTCCAGCCTCACGTGTCCAGAAGGATGCTGTGCTCAGGCAGTTGTACATTTACCTCTAAAGCTGAAGAAGGCTCTCTGCATGAAGCTGACCCCAATCTTGACTCTATTTAAAGAGTCAAGGAGAGAGAAGTTTAAGGAAAGAAGTCCTAGCTGGTCCAGGCAGCATGCATGTCAGGGTCACAGAGGCCTCCTGTACCCCTTCACTGCCATTCAATTCTGATTCCAAGGTCCCTTTTCCATCAGGCACCCTGAGACTCCTGCCCCAGCAGCCCACTTACAAAGTGTCTACCGTGCGCCACACATTGCATTCATGAGGCAGAGGGATGAACGGACTGGGAGACATTCACCTCAATAACCACAGGTCATGGGGACGAAGGGGTGACTGTGGCCCAGTCCTTGGTCCTGAAGGCTGTCAGCCCAGCTCAGCGTCCTGCAGGGGGCCTTGCA